AGCTGGAGTTAAAATTAACTGCATTTCCCCTCTATTCTCTCTTACTTACTTGTGCTTAATATAATGTGACCATACATACATACATACATACATACATACATACATACATACATACATACATACATACATACATACATACATACATACATACATACATACATACATACATACATACAAGAATGTTGTTTACTTTTTAGACCGACAGAAACCTTTATTGGCATACTTTACAATATTAAAACACATTAAAATGCAGATAAAACATTCAACAGCTGACATGTGGCAGGGAACAGCCAAATGCCTATTTAGGGCTTGGCATTATGCGACATCATGCTGTGTTGCCTCTGCATGATGTAGTAGATGTATCTGGCTGCTATCAGGGTAAGTTCCTTAATAGTGCCACCTAGGAGGTGTCAACATTTTCTCAGGTCATCCCATCCAGAATGAGAGGAAAGTGCTCAGATAAGACAGGTGGATATTCTTATACAAGACAGAGCAGAACAACATATGCTGCAAGGATTCAACCACTCCCTGACCACAAGGGCAGACTCTCAGTTCTGTGGGCAAACACATATATCTGCCCTGTGCTGAGTTTGAAGGTACAATATTGCACCTAGAAAGGGTAAATGCCCATTGATCTTGTGCATGCTCTAGGTGATAGAGGTAATTCGGTCTTCTGCCATGGGAGAGGGGCAACTGAAAATATACTGAGGAGCAGCACTATGCAGGGTTTGCCCCTCAATATCCATAACTTTATATTTGATTGTCTGGAATGCCTTGGAAAGGGGTATTGAACCTAGCAAATCTGGTGACAACCCCAGGGTCTTTATTTTCTTGAGAAATAGGGCCAAACCTTTAGGAAATACACTGTCAGAAAGCAGCACTTGAAATAGGATGTCCTGGGCTGAGAAGAAACAGATTCTGGTCCAGTATTTAAAGAATCTGAGCCAAGCCAGGGTCTCAATCCTGTGTTGACCACCTTCAAGTCATAGGGTTGCATAGGAGACACATTGGGGCAGGCCAAAGATTTTATACAGGAACGTTTATTGGACCCTTTCAATGGAGCTGTGGAATGCAGACATCCAGATGGGGATACCATGAAGAAGCTGTGCTGCTGATTTGACATTAAAAATCTGCAGTGCAGTGGGGATGTACGAATGGCCCCAAGTATGATGGAAGCGTAAGATAGCCTGTGCTTTTGCTGACTTAATTGCTGTCTGCCGGTGAGTCGACCAAGTGTGTCTGTAATGAAAAAAGACACCCAAATACTTAAACTCTTTGACCTGCTGGATAGAATTGCCATTGAAAGACCAAGAAAAGGGTTTCCATGCTTTGCCAAAGACTATAATTTCTTGAAATTTAGTTGGAGTTTATTGCGTATCAGGTAGTCATGGCAACCGCTAACTAGCCGATTTAGGCTGACCCTTGTGCGGGACAGGAGAACCATGGCATCCACGTATAATAAGACTGGAATCTGTATAGGGCTTAGTTTGGGGCTATGGCCATTGGTACTATGTAGGAGTTGGGCAAGATCATTAATAAATAAGTTAAACAGAGTTAGCGCCAGAACACAGCCTTGTTTCACTCCTCTGTTTGCTTTTCAACATTCTTGTAGTGACTTTTTAAAGTTCTGTGTACAAGCCTATTAGCCCACTTACACGCTACCTCTTTTCCTTCTTAAGTTACCAAGCTAGTTCTAACAAGGTGACTTGTTAAGGAATTCAGTAATGTTATGTTGTGTCATGGCCTCAGAAGTTGTCCATACATTGGGCACATGAACTTTTCTAGAAGAAGGCAGCATTCAACACAAGCTAGCCCAGTGGTTCTTAACCTTGGGTTATTCAGGTGTTTTTGGACTGCAACTCCCAGAAGCCTTCACCACCAGCTGTGCTGGCTGGGGTTTCTGGGAGTTGCAGTTCAAAAACACCTGAGTAACCCAAGGTTAAGAACCACTGAGCTAGCCAATTAAATTAGTCCAGATAAATCAGTAAGGGATAATATGTAGACATCAAGATGTTAAAGGTTGAGAACATCATCCTTTATTTACCCTTGTTTATCTGTAAGATAGCTAGAGTTTACTAAAAAGCTGCAGCTGTTTATACACAAAGTTGTTGAAGGGAGTAACGAGTTGCGAATCTTAGTAGCATTTTGTGAATTTGTCAATAAAACGAAAAGTCTGGCAAAGAGCTGTTTTATGCAAACACAGCACAATACCTTTCTCTTAGAATTAGTTGTTCCCTCATCCCCAGTTTACAATCTGTTCTTTAAAAAGTACACTCTGCTTTTCAAAACACTAGTTTTCACAACAATACAGATCTCCATCAGATAGCAAATATCAATTGCCAGAAATCCTGCCGGATATCCAGCCTGTGTGGAAATCTGAACAATGAATGTGCTGTAATGCAGTGGCTTTACTTTGCAGATTACCTGTACAATTTGCCAGAATTTTGTAGAATTTTAAAAGCACCCATGCCACAATAGTTTCACCTGTCTGCTTTGAGTAGTTGCTATAGAGTGTTTATTAGTCTGGGCTGGATAGAGACTTAAAACTGTTGTGAATTATTTGAGTTCTTATGCTTTCCTCTTCTCTCCCCCCCCCTTTTGCCTTTTCTGTTGGTTTCTCTTTTATGCTTGATAGTTTGTGGGCATATAAACTTTGTCCATGTTTTCTTGCGTAAAACATGGGGTCTGGAATTACTTTTTTTTTTGCTTGTCTTACAGCACGAAAGACATACAATGTCAGAATGTTATTGTTTAGAGGTTGAAAGATTATATTGTAGCCTCTAATAACAAGCATTTTCTTGTTTCTGAAAGGTTTGTTCAATTATTCAGCCTCTGAGGATGACAATACAAATGAAAAAAGTACAGCTGATTCTTAAGAGAAGTTAATTGTTATTGTTTGTTAAGCTATTGACTGGATGGCAGGCATTTTATCATAAGTAAGTAGTGTAAATGTCTATCTTCACCTTTTATTCCTAATTTTGCTTTATTATTTCCTAGATAATTTCTTTCAAGTGCAGTTAAACAACAGTTGTAGCTCATTTGCTGTGTATTGTCCAGTCATCTTCCCTTTAAGTTATTCTCCTGCTGTAATAATGCCTCATTTTGTAGGAAAGAATGGAAAATTCAGTTCTTTCCATGTGTAGCATTTCCATTGCTTATGTACATATTGGATACAAAGTGATTGGAGAGGTATATAAGGCAGGACTCACCTTTGCCTCTACCTGTTTTGTGATAAATCGTAGAAACTGTTGGCTTGCATGTGGCATGTACTGGTAGGTTTTCAAGGCAAGTTACTACGTATATTAAAATTACAAATTGTAACAATAATAAAATTTACAAAATATGGTGCATAATGAAACTTCAGTTTAACATTGGCTGCTGAGTAACTTGCACCAACCTATCAATGAGGAGGAGTCCCTGAAATACGTGAAGATAAAGTGCACTGATGTGTATAACCACTTGAGATTTTCAAAAGAAGTAGAAAATAAGTGATCATATAACAGAATGTATTGTTCTGGAGCAATGTGACAGCTTTTTATGACGGAACTTGGCTATTTTCTTACAAAATCCATACATACAATCTGAAATATTTAGTGCATGTGTACGCCTGCAAGCTATACTTATATTTCTAAAACTGGATTGAGTGTACAAGTAATCCAAGTGGTTGTTTGAGGAAACAGTATTTTAGACATGACAGCAAAGTAGTTTGGTACCTTCCCAGACAGTTTGTTATATTAGGATTCTTGATGCCTTTTCTGATTTGTTGCTCTAGCTTCCCAAGGCAAGAAAATATTTGGCCCTGCTATGTCCACACAGTTCTATTGTTAAATAATTTTATTTTGAATCTTTCTAAACTCTTTGTGCCAAATGGACCGTATACATATTGTATAAAAATAATTTATACAGTCACTCCAGTGCAATAACTTCTGGTTGTCATATGTTTTGGATCAGTGGCACGTTATGTTTATTCCAAAATCATTACAGCAAGAACAAACAGGCATTTCTGTTTTGGTAAATTATGATGTACTTCAGCCTTTATTTCTCCATCTGTCAGTTTATACTAGTGCTTGGGCACAGCTAGGGCCATCTAGTTCTCAATCAGACTGAATACTGAGTTTGTTGTTACCTATAGAAGATTCATATGTAAGACTGCTTTTTATCACCTGTTAGCATTCAACAAGGCAGATTAGCTGTCAAGGTGCAAAAAGCAGACTTTCCATTACAGTACTAGGGAATAAAATCACCTTATTTCTGTTCCTTTACATTATTATAAAATCAGGCAAAAACTACAGTTATATATGAACAAAACAAAATCTCTTCAATTTTGACAGGTTTATTAATTGTTTAAATAATGATGACATGCAGTCTAAGTGAATATCCAAAGTTTTACGGTATTGGTGGTGCTGGGGAAGCATGGATAGAAGGATGTCTTCTGTCACTTGAGGGTCAGGTTAAGTAACTTTATTTCTCTTTTGGTATTTTTAGTCATATGGCTGTTCAAAACAATAGTCTTTAGTGTCCAATGTAGGTTTGGGGAAATAGTGATCCAAAGAAAATAGTTTGTATTTGTTCTCTACAAAAACTTTCATTTGACTCACTTAGTGCCAAGAAAAATAGAGAACTAGCTGAAGTAGCTTGGAGCAAGTAACCCCTTCCCCCATATATAAAGATGTTGAAAATGACATTTGTAACATGCTGAAGTGTGCAGTGTGGACTGTTAACAAAGGCTTTCTAGCAAATATGTCAGTTTTCATAGTATTAGCTTTGACAACATCTTCTTTCCTTTGCTTATCTCCATTTTGTTCCCTGCTTCAGGAGTTGCCAGTAAATCAAGATACAGCATGTAACAGTTTGAAACTTACAAGCACTGTCGTGACTAATTATTGTCATTACTTGAAGGATAACGTGTGCAATGCTGTTGTGGATGAAGGTCAGATCCTATGAGCCACTTGAGATAGCATTTCTAACAGGATCTTACATGTTTCTCTATAAAATCTCATGTTCCGTTGTAGTCCAAGGATGCTGTGGAAATTGGTATGAACACACAGTTTCATTATGTGGAAAAGCTTTGAAGTTTAGCTGCTGGGTCACCTGAAGCACCATGAGCAACTCCTAGGGGAAGCATTCTGCAGAGCCTACTGGCATTGAAGTGGAGTCTCTGAGAACTCATTGCTCCTGGCTCAGACAACTCATGATTTAAAATTTTTCGTAGTGCACCAATCTGAAGCACTGGAGCACTGTGAAATGTTTAGAAAGGAAGAGAGCTACAAGCTGCTACTTTTTCCTGTCCCCTACATCTTCTTAACTACCTCTTCTTACGTGGGCCAGGAAAGGCCACATCTTAAACTGCCCCCAGATAGCCTTTTTCTAATGGTTGTTGTGGGTTTTTTGGGCTCTTTGGCCATGTTCTGAAGGTTGTTCTTCCTAATGTTTTGCCAGTCTCTGTGGCTGGCATCTTCAGAGGACAGCACTGCTGGACAGCACAGCCACAGAGACTGGCGAAACGTTAGGAAGAACAACCTTCAGAACACGGCCAAAGAGCCCAAAAAACCCACAACAACCATTAGATCCCAGCCGTGAAAGCCTTCGCGAATATATATTAGCCTTTTTCTACTTTCATCTACCTATTTTTCCCCCATTTAATTTCGTTGTCGTTTAGTCGTGTCCGACTCTTCGTGACCCCATGGACCAGAGCATGGCAGGCCCTCCTATCTTCCACTACCTCCCGTAGTTGTGTCAAATTCATGTTGGTTGCTTCGCAGACACTGTCCAGCCATCTCATCCTCTGTCGGCCCCTTCTCCTTTTGCCGTCACATTTTCCTAACATCAAGGTCTTTTCCAAGGAGTCTTCTCTTCTTATGAGATGGGTATTTAACTTAGTGAAGTTAAATTTGAGAAATTACATAGAAGTTCTTACCTGGCAGGGAAGATACGAAGATCATGAATTACATAGAAGTAAATACCGTACAGGGTGGTCGTTTTCAAAAGGCCTTAAATATTCTGCTTCCTTCACTATTAAAAAATCCTAACTATACTGGATAAATTCTGAAAATAAATAATCTTGCAACATTGCATCAGAAGAATTCTCTACTTTGATATGTCCCTAATATTACAAGCTGTATAGACATATACATAAACAGTTTTGAAAACTAGTTTGCAATTTAGATATGATGGAAGGATCTTTCCACTTTATCTGTCTTCCCCTCACCATTTTACTCTCATAACGTTTATGTACATTGTAATATAGAATCCGTGTTATGAAGCACAGGAACTGCTTACTGAGAAAAACTTTGAACATAAGCTCTTCCTATTATTGGCTACAGAGGGGGATAACTCATTTGCTCATTCTTCTAGGTCTGCTTCCTTGCCAGGGTAATGGTAATAAAATTGACAAGCAGTATACAGTTTTGTATCCCTTATCAAATGTCAGGAGGTCGAGAGGACACAACACATCACCATTAAACAAGTAATACTTTTCATTGGAAGATTGGTCCCATCACTTTGATTTTATCACACATATGGCATATCTGTAGAAATTTAGTGGTCATGTTACATTTCCCAAAATCTGGTAATAGCAAAATTTTCTGTATGTACATTGCTTCTAGTTTGAAAGAAAAGTAGAGATAATGTTGATTTGTGTCTGAGGATTCTGGGCTTTAACTATTAGTTTTTGATATGTATGGTAATAACAGGTTTCCTCTGAAAAATAATAATTGGTGACATCTTGTAGCCTGAAGGATCAATAACATTTCTAACATAAAAATGCAGTTCAGTTCAGCATGATAACATTTTGTTGGATGAAAGCAATAAAAAGAGAAAGATTAAGAAAATAGACAGCAGCTCAAGTAATTCTAACATCCAGATGTATTGCATCACATCTGCCACATTTCCCAAACACAATGAGAAGAACAGTCTGTTCTTTGGTCAGAATTTTGTGTCTTGGCACATCCTTTTAAAACACACTAATTTCCGCACACCACCCTTTTTCAAAAATGTTAATTTATGTCAGTGGCTTTCACTGTTTTTTGCTTTTAATTTAAGAAAACCCTGTTCATATGAAATATTAAACAACTCAGCCCCAAGTCCTTAAGCCCACACAAAGTAAAAACACAAGGTAGAAACTGATAAAAAGTTAGTTATTTGACAATTACAAAATATAAATAAGAACTTATTATTGAAAATTCAGAATGACATCAAAGTAGACCATGTGGTTGTGGTATCTATCTGAGGATTGTCCTGATACAGTTTGGTACAAATAGATAAAGTAAGTGCCTGAAGTGGGAGTTGGAAAGTTTAATAGAACCCCTGAAAAATGTTTATACAGCTCTAGTTAAAACACCAACCAACCAGATTTCATGAGAATAACACTACAGAACCCTTTTGCCTATGGATGTTCTAAAGCTAAACCTTGCAAGGTTCAGCTTTAAAAGTGGAATTACTTTGATGTTTAGCTCTTGTAGAACAGAAACTTTGCATCATTCCTCACCTGCTGCAGTTTTTCATGGCAATAAAAATGTGCTCCAAAAGATATTTCAGCTTTTCAGATTAGGTGGGGATTTTTTGTTCTGTTTTTGTTCTCAGGGTCAACAAGAGGACGGGGGATGGATCACTATTTCTGGTGAAAACTGTAGAATCAGGTGGAAGTGCACCATTGGATCCTAGCCATAGTCTTTTTCTTTTTTTTTTGTTTTCTATATGTACCAGAGGACATGTTAACCACCAATATTTTTCCTTTCATTTCTGGGTTTATTAGTAAGAGGAAGGGAGATACATGTTTTTGATATGATGGCGAGAGCTGCTTTATTCCTGCTTGAAGAATGTTATATTTTTCAATGGCTTTTTATTTAAGATAGTGATTATATGGTAATATATTTACATACACTAGAGGAGGAATGCCTATAGGATTGTGACCATTCCCATTAATTTGTGAAACACAAGCTGATAATAGGCAGCCACAATTAACAATCCAGTGTATGATAATCTAAGATCTGAACTTCTAATACTAAAAAATATTGTTCCAGCACCATGAGTAACATAAAGCCTTAGACAAAGGTCATCTTTCTTTGACATGTAATTAGTTTCCTATGAGATAGCTTTTGGGATATTTTGCTAGTAAAAACTAAGAACAGAGTGTGTAATGTAAATGTGAAGGCTGTATATAGAACTTGCTTTGTGTACAATAGATAGCACGTAGTACCCCTGCATTTTTCAGTGAGTACCATTACACCTGTGTGAGATAATCAAGGACTAGGATAGCAGGTGATTTCTGTTACCAGTAACTAATTAAGTACTATATCCTCTTGAAAGGCAGTGGAAAAAGAAGTGAAGACTAGGCCTTATATTGTGGAGAATAGGAATTCATTACTATTGCTAAAAGAGATGAAAAGGTACAATATGAGTTTAAAGTTGCTTGTAGAATCTGTTTGTTTTTTTGCCATTTCCAGGTTTTCTGTGTAATAGTGTGTGTGTGTGTGTGTTGAGTAAGAAATATGTATATGTAATATACATATAAGGATGGTGAATCTGTTCAAATTCTGATGCTTTAACCTGGCAAAACAAACCTCTATATGTGGCAAATAGCTGAAATTTGGGGAAGCTGTTTCCAACTTTTCAGGTGAGTGCTGCAGAAAATCTAATTTGTAGTTCAAAATCTGACATTGAGGCATTAAAATGTTCCATCTAGGAGCCTAAGGGTTAAAGCAGTTTTAATGCTTAGAGGCTGTAGAAGAAGGAATCTAGGAATGATTTTGGTGATGTTAAACAAAGCGCAGCTATTGCTGTGCATGTAACAATAGCAAAGTAAAGCCAAACAAAACCTGGCTAATTATGGCAGGGATCCCATGGAGACAGATATTAATTTATCATCTTAACATCTCTTTTCTATTTTTTCACCATTTCATAATCATGATACTTGGGATGAAAAATAACACCGCCATTAACTAATGGAATGTGTCTACAGACAAGCCATATTTGAACCAAAAAGCGAAAAGCAGTTTGGCATAAATTCAACAGATGTACAGACATTCTCACAGTTTGCATATTAAGAATCATTTGCTGTAGGTGCACAATCAAGGAAACTGCTTAGATTTATAGGAATTGTACATCTTTCTCACTTTGAGAAAGGTGACATACATACATCAATCAATCAATCCTGATAGGTTTATTTCAATTGCTGATGGTGATAGATCCTTTCCTTTAGTTTTATGATGCAGATGCCTGATTACTAATGCTGGGCAAAATAAAACATGTGAGAACATGTTCTATAGCAGTCCAGTAGAGGGAGTCTGAATTCAGTGCAGAAACAGCAGAAAACTAGCTGAAAATACCTCCATTAGGTTGAGAGATTAACATGCTTACCTGCAAACTCCATTTAATTCACTGAGGCCTCCTTTTGAATAAACTGAAAATTGCTCTAAAAGTTAATCTTACTGTTTGATATTCAAATATCATCCTCTCCCCATCCCAATTTTTCATCTCAGAAATTGTTAAAAAACAAAGTTTTATTAAATATTAGAACATTTATTAATTGTTAGGAGGTTCATGGTATCTCTCTCATTCAATCTTCTACATGTTGGTTACCCATTAGTAATTAAGGTTAATGTCTGACAGCTAATTGTTTCAAATAAATCAGTAGATTGATCTATTGTTTAATATTACTATAAATTAATCTATAGATTAATGAAATATTTAGGAGATATAATATTGTTTTGGAAACCTCAAGCCGTATCACAAACTGAATTATTTTACTGCTCCTTCTTCAGTACACAATATACATAATATCACTGTTCAATAAGGCTACACAACTGTCTTACAACAAATCTTACAAGAAAAAAAACAGAAAAGAGCTGTGTAGTCTTCAAAACAATGCAAATGTAGGAGCAGTTCGTACCTTTATTAGATTACTAAAAGAATCAAACAACAAGCAAATTAGCTTTCGATTATGATTCACCATTTTCAGGCTGTGTACCACATTCTTATGGGTAGTTTATTTGTTTGTTTGTTTGTTTACTGCTCCTCTAGAATGTGTCTAATCTGGGTGGTTTATATATAATATAAAAATAAACTAAGATAAAATCCAGATTAATCCAAGATGAGAAAGGAAAAAAGAAAGGGGGGAAAGGAGAGGAAGGAGAGAAGAGAAAAAAAGAAGAAAAGAGGAGGTAGGCTAATTAATGGCTGTAGGGAAGGACTGCCTATATAGCCATGTCTTCAAGCTGGTCTTGAAGGCCCTCAGTGAGTTCCACTTTTTAGTTCCAAAAGTTATATGTTTTTTATATACAGTATGCTTTTATTAATGACCCAAATTCTCATGGTTGTTGTTGGGGCCTGGTTAGCTTCTTAGATGGCTACAGATGCAGTCTGCAAAAGGCTTTAGGTTTCTTCTGAAAGCAGTTTTTGAATTATGTGTTTTCAGTATTCTGTCAATATATTGCTTTTGTGCATAGCTAATTACAAACTGAAGCTAAGGTCAGTCCTGAGGTTCTGACATATACCTTATATTCTCTGGATAACTATCAATGCAGATATCAGTAATAGAGAATAAATAGAATCTCCATAAGCACTAATGATTTGAGTTTCATCAGAAATACAAATAATGTTTTTATGTTTTGAAGTAGGATATTGTGATATAGCTTGATGGATTTGATTTCATAAGCAAATTGATGTGACACATATTTAAATTTATAAGAAACATGAGCTGCCCAATGTTAAAGCATGTTCATTGTTTCCATAGGACAAATACTGATTTTATCATCTGATCTTGCTATAATTGCATGGTTTCATTTAATTCCATTTAGTTTCAGTGCATTTCCATCCTATGCATCTCTGATCAACTAAGAAATACCATTTATGATATCTGTATCTTTTGCATTTATTTTTGTGAAGCTTTCAAAATGTTGCAGAATGGCACAATGAGTGAGCATGCAGTTTCTTGCAACAAAACATGTTAAAAGTAAGCTTCTAAGAACTATATTGAGATCAGTCTGCTCCAGCATTCTACATTAGAGATGGACATGAAGCACTTCATGACGAGTCATCTTAAACTGGCAACGGGTGGGAGTTGGGGACATGTGGCACCTTGTGGTGGTGTTCTGATAACTTAAGATGGCCTGGCATTAGGTGCTTTGTGCCCATCTCTATTCTATATGCTAAGAAAGCCATAAACTAATGAGTGTACTGCTAATGACAAAGTCCTGATGCTTGACTCTAGCATCTGGTGATTAGAAATCCACTGCTGGAACATCAATGATCCAATATCAGGTGCTCCTAACTATTTGACCATAGATTGGTTTTAATTTTTTTAATTCATGCAATATTTTTCCACTGCAACTTTATCCAAATAACTTTATGGAACAGGGTATCAGTGCCTTTGTGTTCACTATCTAGATTCAAAATGGCAAACAAATTTTCTGTATATAGCATTAAATACTTCAGAAACTGTAGCCAGATGGCGGCATCTCCATGGCTCATGGAGCATGAAACTGGAAATAAGCACTTCGATGAGGTAGTATGGGTGTTGAAGGGACTTTACATTATAGTAAATGGCATTTATTTCTGTACCATGCAGCAGGTCTCAAAAATAAAACATGATAGAGAAGAAGTTAATGGTAATATGCTTAAACACACCAATGTTTACAACTATGTTGTAAATAGGAAGAATCTAGTCTAGTCTAGTCTTTGGTTTGGAACTAAGGGTAATCAAAGAAATTTAGACATTATCCTAGAGTGATTAATTAAACCCAGACTCCAATAAAGCACTGCTGAAAGCAATCATTAACTTGTTTTTGATTGATAAAATGAAGCAGTGGCCCTCCCATCTATAATTGTTATTTGCTTTCTTTAGTATAAAATCAATTGCAACAATTTATGTATGTAACGATGTATGTATGTAACAAGAATTTCAGTTCTTTCTGTGAATGCACATGAATATCGTAGTAGCTTGTTATACTCCTAAGTGTTTTTGGGTTGGTACAAGTGGACATGAATCCATGTTCACAGAATAAATTTGAAAATTCTATGGCAGCACTGAAAAACAAGAAACAAAATAGCACAGTCCATTGTAGTGTACAGTGCCCTTTATTTTCCACTGATTATTTGTTCACTATCTACTGCTGGGTTTGATTCATATTCTTCCTGTGGTTTGTCCCAACTCACCAGCTTGGGAAGTTTTCTCCTTTCCCACATCATCTTCCATTCCAGCAACCACCTGTTCCTTCCTGTGCCTTCCGTGTGCACTGCATTAGGACATTCTGGAAGGGTGGCTCTATTCCTGTTTCAGCCTCCCTCCAGTTATCCATATCAGCCATCTCCCAGGCTTTATGTGCAATGAGCCTGCCTCCCAGACTGTGTATGTTTGTGCAAGGGGAACTGAACTCCAAACATTTTAACACAGAAGCAAAGGCCACTACATTTGGTGGTACTCACTCCACAGTAAACCCACAAATCAGAGTGATCTGGAAGTCTGGATCACTGCTCCACAAGTAGTCCAAATTGAGTTCTATTTGAGTTAAAATTTTTGAATTGAAAGGCTATTGTTAAATGGTGATGGAGAAAGAACCTAACCTCAAGTGGTCCAAAATGCGAGCAACCTAATCTGTCTGATTGCACATTCTGTTTTATAATTTTCATTTGAAATCTATTTACTTCCAACAGGTCAAACCTTAGCAATCATGGCCAATATAAACCAAGTTCATTACATTGAATCTCTATACTTAAGCAGACCATCAAAAGGCAACCAAAGAAAGAGTCTGCAAAATTGGAATTTATTAATATGCTGGTTGTGTCTTCCCAGGGACAGAAAAAGTCTATGTGTGGTCCTGGCTCTGCAACAAGTAAACTGTCTCACATTTAGATTTGCTCGTAACCTATTTGCTGCCCGAAGAATTATCATGTGCTGCTGTATCTGTAATAATGAGCTTTGAATTTTATTTATCCCCCAGAGTAGCCCAGTCTTCAACTGACCTTCTCAGCTTCATATGTATTTGGTGAAGTTGCTAGTTGCATACTAAACATCATACTGCAGTAAGTTAGTTTTCAAAGTGTATTTCAAAGAATATTTACTACCCAATCCAGGTCTCCTGTACATGTGCAGAGTTGTACTATGAACAAGAGCTTTCACTGTTCTGTATCAAATAGAGATCTGTGAGCATCTACATTCCAAAGATTGAAATATATAATATGTGTTCCCTTATGTATGCATTGCATTTGTACACCAGGGCTCCAGTGATAACAAATTCAACAATTTTGCTTTGTACAAAAATCAGAATTGTCAACTATTTGATCAGAATCACAAGGACAGAGAGAGTGAAATCAAGGCAGAATCCTTACCCCTGTCTCCTCATGCCCAATCTTACTCAGCATTCAAAAAACGAATTGGCAGCCTATAAAAATGAAACAAAGTATTACTTCATGTAGCATGTAATTATGGAATTCACTGCCACAGCGTGTTGTGATAGCTGCTAACATATGTGGCTTTTTAAAAGCTTAGATTAAGGAAAGATGCTCTGTGGAAATGTATTTTGAGATCTCTAACCCACAGAACTATAAGGCAGTAGGTGGGGTAGGCATCCTTCAGTCTCGAGAGACTATGGTAATGTGCTCTGTATGGAGAACTTGGAACAGCGTCTAGTGTGGCTGAGAAGGCCAATTCGAGAGTGACAATCCCTTCCACGCTGAAGACAAACACAACCTGTCCTCTGTCCAGCTCCCTGGTTTTGCTTGTTGTGGGACTGTCTCTTTGCCTCAGCCTGCTGGACAAGAATCTCTTCAAAATGGGAGAGGCCATGAAGCACCACCTGCCTCCAGGCTGAACGCTTAGATGTCAGGCAGTACATCCTATAAATTTCTGTGGGGCTTACTCCAAAGTAAATAAAAATAGTACTGTAGTCAAAGTATCTCTTCCCATAGACTCAATCAGTGACCAAAGGTATTCTGGAAGTACTTTGTCATATTCCTTTCTGCTGTTTCTTCTACATTATAAATAAATGATATAAAAGTAATACCAAGCAACAATTTATATTGGCTCGAGGATATAGGAGCACATAATGCATTCAGGATTTTCTTTGTAAAATGTTATGTAATGTCTTGGAGACCTATTTCTAGAATATTTAGAATTAACATATTTTGAGGAATATTTAAGCCGAATCTTTAAGTTAATTAAATACTGCAAACAAAATGTGATTTTTTGAGGGAAAAAACTTTCTATTAACACATTAAGTGAATTTTTCTTCAGGCTGTTAAACCATCATTAATAACCAAGTCAGAAGCTATATTACTATGGTTTTTCACACACCATGCGTTACAAATCATATTATCTTTACAAAAATAGTCTGACTGCAAATACAGTCCTAGTGAATACCATTTATAATTAAAACATGTTAAAATACATTTCACAGTTTATTGATAGTGAAAATGAGCATCTTCTGTTAACCTATTCCAGGAGGGAATTAGTCAACATCTTGGACTGGATAGAGCTGTATGAAATGAAAATACATTGGCAAAGCTTCTAACAGTTCGAAGGCTTTATTTTCTAAAGCCCCCATTGGTAGGTGATTTGAAAGCTGTACAAATTTAAAGCAATTAAATAAAATGATGCCCAATGGCCCAGAAAAGCAGATATGCTAATAAACAACCAAATAAATATTCCAACTGTTACAGCTTCAGGCCAGCAGCTCTTAGGGAAGAGACAGTACATGCACAAAACCAAACCAAACATGCTAGTGCCAAAACAGTGATTAACTGTATGAAGGACCACAGTGGTGATCTTTTTATGCTGGCTTTTTGTTTATTTTATCTTTTTTCTGTCCCCCGTATTCCCCTTGCTTTTAATGTGTTTCATTAAAAAGCATATTCCTGATGTTCTTTGAACAACTCCTCTGTTACCTTTGTCTTGAATATGCTCCAGGATGCAAGTCTCCTATAGGAGTGGGATGGTACTCCAAATGCCATCTTGCCTTATAAATTTATTTATTTATTAAATTTATACCCCACCCCTCTAGACCACGTCTACTCGGGGCGGCTTACAGCATAAAATAGATCAATATAAAAACATGTAAAAATACAATTACAATATTAATTAAGGCAATTAATTTAAGAAAAGAGTACCAAGATGGGATAGAATAAGAAAAGAGGAGGAGAGAAAAAAAGACTTAGCTGACTGGAGGGAAGGCCTGCTTAAATAGCCAAGTTTTAAACTGGCTTTTAAAAACACCCAGCGAGGGTGCCAGCCGAATTTCTGTTGGGAGGGCATTCCACAGCCGAGGGACCCCCGCCGAGAAGGCCCGGTTTCTAGTTTTTTCCTTCCGAGCCTCTCTCAGCGTCAGACCCCTCAGCCGTCCCTGCTGGCGATGACGGGTGATTCGGGTAGATCTGGGGGAAGACGACGATCTGCCAAATATTGAGGTCCCAAACCGTTTATTTATTTATTTATTTATTTATTTATTTGATTTATATCCCTCCCATCTAGTATATTTATACCACTCTGAGCGGCTAACAAGAGAATATATACCATAGTAATAATATAAAACCATAGATACCAAAGATCATAAATAATAAATAGATAAAGAAGAAAAAGATAAAATTAAATTGGATTACATGCTGCAGGAGGGAAGGCCTGGACATAAAGCCATGTTTTTAAATGAGTTTATACCCAGCGTAGGGGCCGCGCGAATCTCAGGAGGGAGATTGTTCCAAAGGCGAGGAGCCACCACCGAGAAGGCCCGGTTTCGCATCTTTTCCCTCCAGGCCTCCCTCGGCGTCAGGCTCGTCAGCCTCACCTCCTGGCTTGCGCGGGGGGTTCGGGTAGATCTTGGTGGGAGAAGGCGTTCCGCCAGGTATCGAGGTCCCAAACCATTTAGGGCTTTATAAGTGATCATTAGCACTTTGAAGTCGACGTGGAAACGGATGGGCAGCCAATGCAGTCTAGCCAGGATAGGAGAAATATGATGGTGTTTTCTCCCACCAGTGAGGAGTCTGGCTGCTGCATTCTGCACCATCTGAAGTTTCCGTAGTTAAATTCTAGACAAAAATGTATATTGGCAAAGAATAAGCTCATACGAGTACTGTATCTTTCCTAGCAATTGAAAAGAACACTTGATGATCTCCTTGTTCAATGCACATCTCTGATATAAACCACCCCATTTATAATAAAGCCTTTTTTGTAGCATTATCTCCTTTAAATTAGATTCATCCGGACTCTTTCTTTTTTACCTCAACTTTTGTAGAGTGTGATCTATGTCAGAAGTGGCTCATGCTTTCTAGAACATTGCAGGTATTATCATTGTTAGACCAGTGTTCATTGCCATAAACAGATAAAGTATTACGTAATTCCTTTGCTATATATATGCAATACCTTACTAGAGCAAGGGGACCACAACCACTGTGAAGTTATCGCTTAGCTTTTGATTAATGAAACAGATCTTTTCTATATCTGGATTAAGATGGCATTATAAAAGTAAAGGTTCAAATTGTCCAGTCGTGTCTGACTCTAGGGCGCGGTGCTCATCCCTGTTTCCAAGCCATAGAGCCAGTGTTTGTCCCAAGACAGTTTCCATGGTCACGTGGCCAGCGCGACTAGACATGGGACACCATTACCTTCCTACCATGGTGGTACCTATTTATCTACTCACATTTACATGCTTTCAAACTCCTTGGTTGGCAGGAGCTGGGGACAAGCAACAGGAGCTCACTCTGTCGCATGGAATCGAAGTGCTGATCTTTCAACCTTGCAGCCCAGAGGCTTTGCGGTTTGACCTGCAGTGCCACCACATCCCAAGATGGCATTACATTTCCCTTAAAATCCAGAAAGGGGTACCATAATGTTGATGGCATGCAAATATTATTATTGTTATTATGATTTAGTTATCCATTTACAGAGATTATATTCATTGTTAATGATAATTTGGGATTTTCTTAAGCAGCTAATAGGCCGGTTTCAAGTCCTTGTTTCAAATTCTGGTTATAGCAATTAGTTCCAGCCATTTTATTGTCATTATACAAATGACACTAATCCATGATTAAAGAGGGAAAACTGGCTCCAGAGAAAGTATTTTGAAGCTAATACATACTTGGGGTGGGCTGGTTCCAGATGTGCAAAATACATGCAACACTGTTGCGGTGAAAAGTAACATGGGTAGTTCTCTTCCTCCCAGAGACTGTTTGTTATTGCTAGAATGGTCAGTTCTTGTAGAGGCTCTAAACCTTGCTTGTGCTTTCTGCTCAGTTTAAGTTAATTCTTAAGAACCTATGGCAAATCTTCTGTTGCCTAGCTCCATCTGCACAGTGGGAGAGCAACAGGATTGATGTCACCTACTGTGACATACAGCAGTGATCATCAGCCTTGGGCCTCCAGATGTTCTTGGACCACAACTCCCAGAAGCCATCACCACCACCTCTGCTGGCCAGGATTTCTGGGAGTTGAAGTCCAAGAACATCTGGAGGCCCAAGGTTGGAGACCACTGACATACAGTATTGCCAAGATTTAAATAGTTCCTTTTGAAGCACACGACTTGCTTGCAATTATACACAGTTGCATGCACCCTGAAATGGAAAAAGAAACTCTTTAGTTCGTGGTATTCTGTCATGGCTGGTGAAATCACTACTATTGCACAGGAGAGCTATCCAAATGCATTTTGGCCATTTTCTGTTCTTAGTGGAAGCCAAAGAATCTTTATTACAGGACAAAACATGATTTATAGAGAGCAAACTCTAGAAAATATTTGGGGAACTAATGAGAAGAAATTCTCTGCATATTACTCAGAATTAAGTCTCACTGTATTGAATAAAGTTTGTCCATGTTAAGTGCATTTCTATTCGTCGTCGTTTAGTCGTTTAGTCGTGTCTGACTCTTCGTGACCCCATGGACCAGAGCATGCCAGGCCCTCCTATCTTCTACTGCCTCCCGGAGTTGTGTCAAATTCATGTTGGTTGCTTAGCAGACACTGTCCAGCCATCTCATCCTCGGTCGTCCCCTTCTCCTCTTGCCTTCACACTTTCCCAACCTCAGGGTCTTTTCCAGGGAGTCTTTTCTTCTCATTAGATGGCCAAAGTACTGGAGCCTCAGCTTCAGGAGCTGTCCTTCCAGTGAGCACTCAGGGTTGATTTCCTTTAGAATTGATAGGTTTGTTCTCCTTGCAGTCCAGGGGATTCTCAAGAGTCTCCTCCAACACCACAATTCAAAGGCATCAATTTTTCGGCGGTCTGTTTTCTTTATGGTCCAGCTCTCACTTCCATACATCACGACAGGAAAAACCATAGCTTTGACTATTCGGACTTTTGTTGGCAAGGTGATGCCTCTGCTTTTTAAGATGCTGTCAAGATTTGTCATCGCTTTCCTCCCAAGAAGCAGGCGTCTTTTAATTTCGTGACAGCTGTCTCCATCTGCAGTGATCATGGAGCCCAGGAAAATAAAATCTGTCACTGCCTCCATATCTTCCCCTTCTATTTCCCAGGAGGTGATGGGACCAGTGGCCATGATCTTAGTTTTTTTGATGTTGAGTTTCAGACTCTGTTATCTTCCTCTATTTCTTTGCATTGTTCATTTAAGAAGGCCCTCTTGTCTCTCCTTGCTATTCTTTGGAAGTCTGCATTCAATTTTCTGTAACTTTCCCTATCTCCCTTGCATTTTGCTTCCCTTCTCCTCTCTGCTATTTCTAAGGCCTCGTTGGACAGCCACTTTGCTTTCTTGCATTTCCTTTTCTTTGGGATGGTTTTCGTTGCTGCCTCTTGGACAATGTTACGAGCCTCTATCCAAAGTTCTTCAGGCACTCTGTCCACCAAATCTAGTTCCTTAAATCTGTTCTTTACTTCCACTGTGTATTCATAAGGGATTTGGTTTAGATTATACCTGAGTGGCCCAGTGGTTTTTCCTACTCTCTTCAGTCTAAGCTTGAATTTTGCTATGAGAAGCTGATGATCAGAGCCGCAGTCAGCTCCAGGTCTTGTTTTTGCTGACTGTATAGAGCTTCTCCATCTTTGGCTGCAGAGAATATAATCAATCTGATTTCGATATTGCCCATCTGGTGATTTCCATGTGTAGAGTCGCCTCTTGTGTTGTTGGAAAAGAGTGTTTGTGATGACCAGCTTATTCTCTTGACAAAACTCTATTAGCCTTTGTCCTGCTTCGTTCTGAACTCCAAGGCCAAACTTCCCTGTTGTTCCTTTTATCTCTTGGCTCCCTACTTTAGCATTCCAGTCCCCTAGAATGAGAAGAACATCTTTCTTTGGTGTCAGTTCTAGAAGGTGTTGTAAATCTTCATAGAATTGTTCAATTTCAGTCTCCTCAGCAATGCTGGTTGGTGCATAAACTTGGATTATTGTGATGTTGATTGGTCTGCCTTGGATTCGTATTGACATCATTCTATCATTTTTGAGATTGTATCCCATTACAGCTTTTCCCACTCTTTTGTTGACTATGAGGGCTACTCCATTCCTTCTACGGGATTCTTGTCCACAATAGTAGATATGATAATCATCTGAGCTGAATTCGCCCATTCCTGTCCATTTTAGTTCACTGATGCCCAGGATGTCGATGTTTATTCTTGCCATCTCCTGTTTGACCACCTCCAGCTTCCCAATGTTCATAGATCTTACATTCCAGGTTCCTATGCAGTATTTTTCTTTGCAGCATTGGATTTTCCTTTCACTTCCAGGCACGTCCACAGCTGAGCGTCATTTCGGCTTTGGCCCAACCACTTCATTAGCTCTGGAGCTACTTGTACTTGTCCTCCACTCTTCCTCAGTAGCATGTTGGACGCCTTCCGACCTGAGGGCACAAAAATACAAGCTAGTGATTAGATTTTTCTTGTTTGTTTTTTGTATGATCATTGTATATACTTACAATGACATGTGTTCTTTGTTCCTATGTGTGTACATAGAATTTGGTGGCTCACAGCAAAACTTATGTATTTAAATAGTTTTCTTTCCCTCATAAAATAGTTTTCAAATTATTTTTTAAGACCTCTCCCAGAAAGAAAGGACAACTTACCAGGGTACATTAGTTTGAGAAGTGATCGTGAAAAATGCTAAAGTATTATATAAGCAAACAAAACCTTAAACATTTATAAATATTTATATTACAGCTGCACAAGCTACATAAATTAAATCTGCAGTGGGGCCATATAATTCAGATGAAATTTATCAGTCAAGTTATTGTCTATGCGTAGTAAATTTTAATATTTCCCATCATATTTCATGGCATTTTGCATTTTGCAAATATTAAATATGACTTTTAAGAAAATAGAATACTGATCGAGGCTTGTTCACTTTAACATCAGAGACAGAACTTGTACCAAGGCTGTAGTCAGTTTGCACTGAACAGTTTTGAAAATTTAAGACAAAAGAATAAGAAGAAAGAATTAGGCAAAATTACAGTGGTTTGATAATTTGCCTTGGTGTGTCAGAGAGGTTACACTTTCTAGTCCAGGTGATTTTAGATGCTAAAATACTATTACTAGTGAGTATATATCATTTAACTTTTTCATTCCTTCATAAAGAACAGTTAGTGGAAATATCCTTACAAAGAAAATGTTCATACTGCTTTTTTATTCCTTTGGCTAAGAAGAAATTAAAGGCATGTAATTAAAAGTCATATTATTATTGCTTTTTGACCTATCATTTAGTAAAATATGCACTGTTTTGTAAAGCTTAAAATATATGAATTTTCTCCTAATAGTTATGAAAATTCCCTTAACCTAATTATACAAATTATTGTAGTACTAAAAGGTTAATACTACAGAGCTGCATTGATGCATAGAACATATTAAAACCCAGCACCTTCTAAATAATTTGCATAGAGAGAAGTTTTTATTGGACAAATGAATGTGACCTAAAGGACTACTACCAAATAATGGAAGAAAATTTAGAGCTAAATCTAATTGTAATTGTAATCTACATGTAAGTAAACCCAATGAAATTAATGGGGTTTGTTTCATAGTTGATTAATAAATTCCGTAGATTCCAATAGGAATGATCTACTTGGGATTGTTCTTGTTATTACATGCTGTCACCTATGACTTATGGTGACCCTACAAATGAGTGATTTCCAAATTGTCCCGTCTTCAACAGTCCTGCTCAGCTCTTGTAAATTCAAGCCTGTGGTTTCTTTAGTGAGTCAGTCCATCTTGTATTTGGTTTTCCTCTTTTCCTGCTGCATCCCATCTTTCCCAGCATTATTGTCTTTTTTCAGAGAATCCTGTCCTCTTATTATGTACTCAAAGTAGAACACCCTAGTTATTTTTGCCTCCAGAGATGGTTCAGGCTTGGTTTGCTCTAGGACCCACTTGTTTGTCTTTCTGGCAGTCCAGGGTATCCATAAAGATGTCCCCCAGCACCACTTTTCAAATAATCACTTTCCCCCCTGTCAGCTTTCTTAACTGTTCAGCTTTCACACTTGTATATGGTGAACAGAATACAGGATTGTGGATGATCTTGGCCTTGATTTCCACATACACTTGATGATCTTTTCTAATTCCATCTTTGCTGCCTTTTCAAGTCTCAGTCTTTTTCCAATTTCTTGGCTGCAGTCTCTCTTTGGACTGCAGGTATACAATTGGATTTGGCCTTTTGAGTTAGTGTACATAGCATGCTCCACCCCTATCAATTTCTGCTAGTCTATAGTCTATGAAAATGCATGCTACAATAATCAGAAGCCATATGAGTCTGTTATTTTTTGCTTTTTAAACTGTCACAGAAAACAATTATTAGGATAATTTGAGTCTGATGTTTCCTTGAGTGCAGGGCACTAAGAATGTGATTCTTTGGATCATGGAGGTGCTTAAGTCAAACTGTTGTGCATTTTAAAAATGTGGATAACTATGGAAAACTAGGGCTTTTCACAAAGTAATCTGTCTTTTTTGCATTGCAATAGTTCATTGTACAAACCTGTTGTCAGAAAAAAACAGATTCTGAAATACTGTGCATTTCTCAATGAAACATTGCTTCTATTTAGACAATTACAAGATATATGACAATGAAATATTTAGGTAACAGTGATGTTTAAGAAAAGAGAGAGTAAATAAATATATCCTGGAATAGGGATTATGTATCCTTTTTAGCAACATCATACCTTGACATAGAGGTACAAGGTAGTGAAATCTCATTGGCAGAGAATGATGTTATCATTTTGGGACAATTAAAAGCTTTCTGTATGCGTGCACATGCAGACACACACAAACATGTTCCATGGATCCCAAGGGATCCTCTTCATTCTTGGTAAGTGTTCAGGAGCTGTATCTCTTCAGCTGTATGGAATAGCTTTTGCTTGCAAGAGTTTTAAATTTCAAG